TAACAGAAACACAATAAAAAATCAAAGATAGCCATGAACTGCTGGCACTCAATACTTGGTAAGAATGAATTCATGAATAACAATTCCATTAATGGCAAGGATCTCCCTCAAACCATGATAATATCTTTGATATTCAGGAATTTCAAAAATTAAAAATTTAAGATAATCACAGATTCTCCCAAAATCAGAAAGGAAAATACCTTATAATGTTGTTCTTTTCCCAATGACCCAAAAGAACAACACAAAAAGGAATCATTAACATATGACAGAGATATCTAAAAATAAAGGGGGGGGGGACTTAAAAGATGAAGGAAAAATACCTTTTGAAATTCACGCCCATTTAAAGAGAAAGTTTGACGAAGAAGAAATTAGGGCAGTAGAGAAACAGCCGAGAAATTATGATATGGATTTCTATTGTGTCGAAATTCAATGAAGGAGATATCTGATACAGTGATACTTAAACATTCAATCTTAATGCATACTTGCTGGGTAATCCTTTGATGCATCCTAAAGTTTCAATTTATGCTAGATGTCCTGATGATATATCATAGATGTACTTGCGAGTAACAAGTTAAAAACAAGAGATATGAATGAGAGGATCACAATTTATTTGATTCTAGACACGTTGCACCCGTAGAATTTGGTTGATTGTAAAAAAAATTTGAATGTTCACATAACTATTAAATTATTAATTAAAAATTAAAATAACTTATTTATCCAAACTATTAAACATTAACACACAATTTACCATATTATTATTGTTTACCGGCAACTTATGGCCTATGAAGCACGGATACTCCCCCAGAGGCCACGAATCCGTGTCTGACACGAATCAGACACGATTCGCGCAGGACACGTGCACGACACGTGTCGGACACGGTCAATCTGTGTCCGACACGGGTCAACGGTCAAAGTTGGCCGGACACGGTCAACAGGGAGTTGGACACGGCTCAGACACGCCCGCTGCGCCCGACGGAAGCAAAAAAAGAAGAAAAAAAGAAGCGGTGGCTAGGGTTATTGGGTTATTGGGTACATACCCGATTTCCACTTGAACCCGAAAATCAAAAGAAGCGGTTCCTAGGGTTTTTTTGTCGCTCCTTCTCCAACTCTTTCTCCCGAAAGAAAAAGGAAGCAGCGATCTCCACTCAGCAGGGCGAGGGCGACGGCGAGCGGCGACAGAGAACGGCAAGCAGGGGCGAAGGCGACGGGCAACGGGCGACGGCGAGCGGCGACAGAGAGCGGCAAGCAGGTTCTTCTCCTTTTTTCAGTTTTCTTTTATTTTCCGGGTTTTTTTTTGTTTTGAAGTTCTCTTTTTTAGGGCTTTCGTTCTCTCCCTTTCTCTTTGGTCTTCGGTGTTCTCCCTTTCTCTTCCCGTTTTCTTTTATTTGTGTTGGGTTCGGTCTTCGGTTTATTTTTCATCGTTTCCCTTCTTTTTTTTCACTATTTCTTTCATTTGTTTTCATTTAAGTTTTTTTATTTTCTTTTTTCTGCTCAGTTTTCCACTGTTCTCCCGTTTCTTTTCCATTGTTCTCCCGTTTCTTTTTTCACATTTTTTCCTTTTCTTGCTGCTGCTTCGGTTTCTTTTTTTGATTGTTAAGCCATTTACTTATATAACTATAACTGTTAAGCCATTTACTGTTAATTGTTAATGGTTTCTTATTTAACTATAAAGCAATGTTTTTGAATGTTTAACTGTTAATTATTTGAGATAGTAAGTCAGTAAACTGATTTTTAATTAATAATAGGTAATTATTAAAGTTTGGTTTGTGGACTATTTTGATTAATAATAGGAGAGATTTAAGGAGAGATTTGTTTAACTGTTGAAATGTAACTATTTTACAAAGTGAGATTTAAGGAGAGATTTATCTTAACTGTTAACTACTGGTTTTTATTATTATTATCACTGTTAAGTGTTAACTGTTTTTTGCAAAACTAATTGCTTGTTTCTTATTAATACATATCGGTCATAATTGTTGAAAATGTGCTACGATTTGTTTTCATGTGCGAGATTGCGAGAGTGCGAGTATTGATTCTTGCTATTGAGCTATGCCTAGTGCGACTAGTTGACTTGAAAGTTGAAACTTAAAACTTGATTCGCCATTTGTAACCTGTAAAGAAGAAAATAAAATTTAGTAATATAGTTGTTAGTGATGCAATATACTAGTATGAAAGTTTGAATAGTTTGCAAGCTTGAATGAAAATTAACGTACAAGTTTAATACTTTAATTGACTAAAATATTCTATATATAATAATAATTTTTAAAAAAATTCCCTGCCGTATCCCCGTATCCTATTTTTTTAGATTTTGCCGTATCCCGTATCCGTGTCCGTGTCGTATCCGTGTCCCGTATCCGTATCCGTGCATCATAGCTTATGGCTTTAGGATTTGTCTTACCCATGTACCGTATTCTGTGATATCCGAATTGGTGTGCTGTGCATGTATGCATGCATGCCTATATTATACATTAGTTTCCATATCCATGTAGTACAAATGTCCTGTGTTTCAAAATTCGTTATATCTGTGCTTATGTTGATTGTATTGTATCGTGTGTCTATATTTATTTTTCACATTCAAAATTCTGTTTGGATGAATAGAAGTAGAATAATAATCAACTTCGCATCATAACGCAAGTAATCAGACCTCTCTTATCAAGGAATTGAGAGACTCCTATACCAGGAAAGAGAGCCATAATGCAAGATTTATGAATACAGGGTGAGGGTTTCAGGGACTGGAAATGGTATATGCGAAAACAGGAAAAAGAAATATGATGGAGCATTTGGCCTCTTATAAAGGAAATAGATTAATATAGCACAACACAACTAAGCTTCTCCTTAATGCTCAGTTGGGAAGATAGGAAGAAGTTCAATGAAATCAAGAAAGAGCAAAGCTTTAGAACATCTGAAGCAAGACCAGTACTAGCTTCTTGCTTAATTCAATTTCAATGTTATTTATCGAACACACCTAGATACTTCCAAGTAAAATCTGTTCAGCAATTTTACAAGAGTTATATTTATATATGTAAAAAAGACAATTACAGTTCATTTTTCCACTTATAAAGCCATGCTTGAGATCTATAATGGGACAACTTTAATATCGGGGTAGCATTCAAATAAGCGATAACATTAAAGTATCCTCCAGATAAAGAGAACGAAACAAAACAGAACATCAAGAACAACACTTGTTAAATGCGAAACCAGACAAGATTAAATCATGTTCCGCACCATATAGGGGTTTACGGAACCCACAAATGACAAATGACACAAGAACTCAAGTAACGACAACAAATTTCTGTTTGGTTGCATATAAGGACAGGAGTAATTACAGAATCCAAAAACAAACTGTTACTGAACCCGTGCAACGTGTCAATGGCGATCATAGTTATTTAAAGATTGTTCCATAAAAGGACATGAGCAGTTACAGATTCCAAAAAACAAACTGTTAATGACCACGTGTAACGTGTCGATCCCAATCATAGTTATTTAAAGATTGGCCAATCCAAACGTTCATACCTGATACTACTCTGGAGGGTTTCAAGTTTACTATACTCTTACCACATTTGTGAATCGAAAGCGAAGAACTACTAATGCTTTCATGCAATGTGACGATCCCAGTCACGATGAATCCAATGTCAGAGTGAGAGCAACAATTAGATAGAGAAAAGGCACTACCAGAGCGAGAGTTATCCAGAGAAACATTGACACAAACCCTCAGTATATTACCGAAACAGTTCATGTAGATAGATTGTAACAAATAAAAAACTTCTATAAGCAGACCTTAAGTCACTGGAATGATTCAATGATAGTCAAGAACTGGTGTCACTCCACTCCACACTTGTTAAAGAGCAGTTCATGAATAACAATTCCATTGATAGCAATGATCTTAAACCTTATGATAATTTCTCCCAATTTAGGAATTTCAGAAAAAAAAAATTACAATAATCTCAGTAAAACTCTGGCAAATTCGGAAAGGAATATACCTGATAAAGCCGTTCTTTTCCCTTCGCTCACTCTGAGAACAATTCAAGCCAAGAATTATCAGCAAATTAAAATGGGAAAGGAAATCCGAGAAAGAAACAGAAGAGAAAAAAGACGGGGAAGTTTTCATTGACGATGGAAACCTTTTGAAACTCCCGCCCATTTCTCCTGCAAAAGATGCTTCCCCAAAAAAAAATTAGGGCTGCAGGCTGAGAAACAAACTCTTGCGTATCCCCGCGGCGTGGGTTCTGGTGTGCCTGCTGAACATTCGAACAGGCCAGGTGTTTCTAAACCCAGCAACCTCCCGTACCGCTGTACGTGTCGCCATTTGATTTGGTGTCAGTAGCGCTGGTTTTGTTCTGTTCACTACTACAGATTACCGCCGTAGCTCTCACGACAGACAAATCGAATACTTTCACGGACAAATTTTCAAAACCGACCCTTTGGGATTTTTAATTGCAAAAAACGACCCATTTCAAACTTATTTATAAAAACCGACCCCAGGGGCTGAAAACAGGTCGGTTTTTGAAAAAATTTTTCCCAAACTTCACGGGAGTTGAACTCCCGTGAAGTTTTGTTATGAGAAAAACTTCACGGGAGTTCAACTCCCGTGAAGTTTGGGAAAAAAATTTTCAAAAACCGACCTGTTTTCAGCCCCTGGGGTCGGTTTTTGTAAATATTTTCAAAACCGGTCGTTTTTTGCAAATAAAAACCCCAAGGGGTCGGTTTTGAAAATTTGTCCATACTTTCACATGATAATACCGCAATTTGCACTTAAAATCAAAAAAAATAAACCATTTCTGCTCAATAAACAGCTTTAACTTTTTGTGCTTTTAGTGAGTTGATATTCCCTTCAACACTCATTATGAGTTAGAAAGTGATTGGGAATTGGGAGGAGTAAATGAAAATATAAAAACTCACTACCAAAAAAATCTAGAAAGAAAAATTTAACATAGGAGATCAGGACGAATATCCACATAATAAAAATAACTAATTAGCAAAAAAGATCAATGTATTCTACGATAAATCCAAAGTTTTTTTTCCTTTTTTCCCCTATCCGATAAGAAAACAAAACAAATTACGGTGGGGCCCTAGCACTCACACCCACATAGAAGAGAATATAACAGAAAACAGGTGTAAAAATGTCTCCACCCTTGCTCAGCCCAAAAGATAATGAGTTTTCCATACATACCCCTAACTCATCCACAAATTTACAACCAAAAAAGGTAATTGAACTTTTTTATAAAAAAAACCCTAGTAAATTTCCCTACTTCTTCGCCTTCCTCGCTGGAACCTTCCTCAATGGCGCCGACTTCCCCTTCTTCGCTGGCGACGCTTTCTTCGCCGGCGCCGCTTTCTTTGTCGCCGCCGCCGCCTTCTTCGCTGGTGCAGCCTTCTTCGCCGGTGACTTCGCCGGTGACTTTGCCGGAGCTTTGGCTGGTGCCTTGGCCGGAGATCTTGCAGAGGACCTCGTAGGACCCCTCGCCGGTGCCTTCTTCGTCGCCGCCTTCTTCGGCGCAGCAGACGCCTTAGCCTTCGCCGGAGCAGCGGCCTTTTTCGACGGCGTGTCCTTCGCACTAGTTTTCGCTACCTTCGCGGGCTTATCCTTGGCCTTTGGCTTAGGCGCTGCGGCCTTGGTCTTCGCCGGAGCTTTCGATTTCGCCGCCGGGGCCTTGGTCTTGGTTGCCACCTTCGCCTTAGGTTTAGCAGCTGCTGCGGCCTTATTTGGCCTTAGCCTTGCAGCGGCGGGCTTTGCTTTGCCCTTAGGTTTTGCATGCTGGTTTTTAGCGGAGACGCGCAATATAACTCTCCAGGTAGACGTCGAGCAATGAGGGGGAGCTGTTGTCAGTGAAGGCCTTGACTTCGCTATAGCTTACCGTGGCGTTGTGAACTTCTCTTCAGCTGAAGGTCATGAGCGATCTTCTTGAAAGTCGGTGGGCAGTTGTCCTGTGTGCTCTGTCCCTATGACTTGCCGCGTAAGCGTACTGGCTCGATCCAGTCCTGTCCTTCATCGAACTGACGCCTCTGAGATATCTGCAAACAAGAACAAACCGTTGATCAAGATCTTAAACAACACGAGCGGGGATAAACCACAAGAGGAACGATTAAGATGCTTACTTCGAGGTACGGAGGGTGAGCGCAGGAGCTCGAGGTTAATTCTCGCAGCCTTGGGCTTCCGACTCCTTGGTCGCCTTCTTCGATTTTCGTCGCCTTCGAGTCGTCGGCATTGTCTTGCAGGCAGCGTCGGCGGCGGTCCTCGTGCGACGGTTTTCGCGACCGTGGGCTCGTTGGCGGCGATCGGGAAGCAGTCTCTTCAGTGGGCATTGATGGGATTTTAGGGGTTAGGGTTTTTGAAGAGAGAAGAAATTCGGACACAAGAAAAATAGGGATGGAGGATGTGAGAAAGGAACGGAGGGTTTTAAATAGCGCAGTTGGGCAGGTTGAGGGAACGGGAGCGGAACTGGGAGCTGATTGGTCGAGGAGAGTTGACGCGGATCCCTTTCTTTTTCGTTTTGAATATCAACCGTTGGATCTTCTGGGTATCAACGGTTGGTAGAGAGAGGAAGGGTGAGGTGAGGATGGATTTGGGTTGGATGAGGCTTTTGGGAAGGGTTTGGGTGTGCTTTCCCTTGTGAATCTTTGGTGAATAACTTGAGCAGTGGTTAATGGATTTTGATGGGGTTTGAAGGATGTTGAAACTCTGGGTTTTAGCTTTCAGATGAGTGTAACCTTGCAGTATTTAGTTTTGTGGTTTGGGAGAAATTTGGTCTTGAAGCTGTATAGGTCGTGCACACGTTTTTGAGTGAGTTCGTCGTAGTTTAAGAGAGTTTAAAGATAATGTTGAAAGTTTTTGTTAGTCTTTTCTATCTAGGATGATAGAAGACATGCAGACGGATCTATAGAGCTTTAAACCATGAAGATCGGTTGAGAATCGAGCAGATAATTGTTGATTTAACAATGGTAAACTGAAACATCTTTAATGTGTGTTGTTTTGATAAGAAAGGAAATGGCTGGTTTTCAATCCCAGTAAGTAGATGTTCATTAATTTTGTACGACAAATGATCGGATGTTGTTATTAAGTAGGCGGAGTAATGCGTGTTGTCTTTGATTAGACAGTTTCGATAATAATTAACCACATTAGAAGTTTTGTCTGTTGTCCATGAATTGGATATATTGATACATTATCTTTATTAAATGAATCTTGTAGATGAGAATAATAACTTGTTTCGCGTGATTACTATCTAATGTGACTAACACGGCACGCTCTTTGTACTCTATTTAAAATTTCCTTTTAGTTACTTGTTATGCAAATGTTTAAATATTTTACACTTATCAACTATAAGTTGTAATTACAGAAGTTATCAATCTCAACTACATAAGCAAGGAAAAGTTCCAAGAAGGATCCTACACTTTCAAGACAACATAATGTCTAAATCACTTCACACAAATAAGGAACTTTTTGTGTACCTTGTAAAAGCAAATTCCTATAAACAAGACAAGTTATTATAAGTAAACCTAAAGGATATTTTTTTAGAATTGACATTTTCATAAAGAAATTATCAATTTTGACCTACTTGCAAAATACTTATCAAAATCGATCTAATTTCAGCCACATCAATAAAACTATGTCGAATTTAAAAAATAAAAGTTTCTGAACTCAATGGGATTAGCAATCTCGTAGAGTTAATTTGTATGCTAAATTCTACGGGACTCTCAATCCCATAGAGTTTATGGTTTTTTTTAACTTGGCCTAATTTCTCAAATATTTATCAAAATTGACTAGTTTCAGCCAATGTGACAGAAACTTGGTTTATTTTGATAATTTTTTTTTGGGATATGTCTGATTCAAAATTTTGTCCAAACCTTGTTTGTTGGAAATTTGCAGTAAAAAGATAATAAAAGAAAATTTGACTTGTATTCTCTCAAAATCAATTACAATTTGGATTCCGATTACAAAAGAGAGGAGAATGAATTTGATTCTCCCCTTTGTTTAATTCTGGGTTCTTCACGGTGACGGTGGAGTGCCTCCCTCGAATGCTCGCGTCGAGTTTGCTCTCCGTTGACGATCCGCACATCTTGATTCACTGCCTCCCTCGAATGCTCGCGTCGAGTTTGCTCTCCGTTGACGATCCGCACATCTTGATTCACTGGAACGTAGTCTTCTCCTCACGATTTGACGCTGTGGAGGACTTGCGTGGCAAGTTTAAAAATAACTCTTAACGAGTTAATAACTCAGAACGAGTTTAGAAAGACTCTGTGAAAGAGTTGATTTAACCGAAATCGGTTAGTAAGCCAAGGATGAAGAAGATCTTGTTGCTGGTCTCCAAAACTCTCACAATTCCCCTCAAAAGCTAGCCGAAGATCTCTTCTTTACTGCCCAAAAAAGAAGGATCTGAACTCAATTGAAAAAAAAAGGAAGGATCCGAACTCAGTTGAGTTTCCCACTATTTATAGGGGATTAAGGATGGTAACTACCCCCTTAATCCGCTCCTCAATGGGCTGAGTGGGGTGTAACCGCCCCCTCTTAAACAGCTCTCTAAATCGTGAGGAAAACGGTTTTGAAACCGTTCTGTTAGTGCTTTGAACGAGTCAAAACGCCAATCTGGGCGTTCTGGACCTTAACTCTGCGTCTTAGAGATGAGACGCAGAGTTGGGTGCTTGCTGGGAGTTGAAAACGCAAGGGCCGCTTGCGTTCGGACCTTAACTCTGCGTCTTAAAGATGAGACGCAGAGTTGGGCGCTCGCTGGGAGTCGAAACGCACAGGCCGCATGCGTTTTAGAGATGAACTCTGCGTTTTAGGCTGAAAACGCAGAGTTGAGCCTGTTTCAGGCTGAAAACGCACAGGTCGTGCTGTTTTAGAGATGAACTCTGCGTTTTAGGCTAAAAACGCAGAGTTGGGTCGTAACTCTGCGTTTTGATGTTATATCCCAAGGATAACCTTTGCGTTTTGAGGTTATAACGCTGGTTCGACCTGTGCGTTTTGACTCTGTAATGCAGAGGCGAACCTTAGGCGGGCTTGGCGAGCTTCAAGCTAAGTCCAATGTTCTGACGAAGTCTGGTCTTGCAGACGGACTTCAGAACATAATTTGCTACGAAGAACATGTCATAACTTTCAAACCGTAAGTCGGAATTGGACGAATTATATATGAAAAGAGACGGGGCCATCCGAACCAAGCCGAAGGCTTTGGTTCGCTTCCTCCGTTTCGCCAAATTCCTTACGGTTTGAGAGATATCTGCATTCTAATATGAAGAGACCGTCAATTTGTAGTCTCTTTTGCTAGAGCTTTGCACAGATTGTCATCTTGTAATCTTCGTCTTGGCTCCTTGAAAATATGAGAGTCGTCAGATTGTAACTCCCGATGTTTATTGTGAAGGCTGTTGAATTGGGGGCTTTCATTAGTTGTTGTGAAGGTCGTCAGATTGTAACCTTCTACGTGAAAGTCCTCAAATTATGGCATTCTGGAAGTCGTCAGATTGTAACTTCCATCATCGGTATTTGATGGGGGATAAGCTATCTATTTTGATTTTTAGACAGCCTACAAACCTAAATTATCAATAATGTTCTTTCTAAGTTAATAGAACTTAGATAACTCATACGTTGATGCTCTTCTCTTTCGTTTTTTAAGGAATGGGTGAAAAATTCATTAGAGGCTTTAACTTTAATGAATGATGTCTAGATTTGCATTTGTGATGTTTTGTTGTGTTTGACAACTCCAGAAAAATGGTATAGTGGATACAATCACGGTCCAAAAACTAATTTTAGTTTGCCAAAGTTTAGGGGTTGAACTAGCTTTCTTGGGTTAAAGTTCTAGCTTTCAAACTTGTTTTCTTTTAAACCAACCCTTAAATGAACTGCCTCTAGCCTAGTTAAGCAAAAAATACTTAAGGACTCATCTTGTTTCTTCATTGATGGACATAGTCTTATTGTGCCACCTGTATATGAGTGCAACTTATGTAAAAAATTGAAGATTTTGGCCCTTTGAAGATCTACGCATGAAAAATGAAGACCATAGAGACTTTGGTCTAAGCATGGTGATGGAAATGAAGGATTTTCTAGCTAAAAGCCACATGCATCATATAAACATACGAAGCGGAAGAATGTAAATCCGAAAATACTAAGCATGTAGATGTTGTGTGCGGCGGAAGCCAAAACCAAAGTGATGTGCTTCGAGAGACAAAATTAAACAAACGCCGAGAGAAGGCCAAACAATACAAAATAACGGCACAAACAACCAATTTTAACGGGTTCGGCAAGTTGTCTACGTCCACGGGACAAGAAGGGATGGGGTTTTCACTAATAGAGAAGAAGAGTACAAACTGAGATTATAAAATCACACAAACTCACCAATTAATCTCACCAACAAAGCTCTAATTCTCTCTAAACAAAACCCTAACCAGTAGCTCAGAAAATACATCTTTTCTATACTCTAAATATCTCCTTCGCTGCTCATCAAAGCTAAAATGTGTTCCTATATATATAAAAATCCTAAAACCAAAAGCATACTAGGAATTCTAAAACCAAAATCAAAACAGATTAGGAATCCTAATAACTTGTTACCAAAACAGATTAGGAATCTTATTACCAAAACAGATTAGGAATCACAATAACATGTTACCAAAATATATTAGGAATCCTAATAACTTGTTACCAAAATAAATTAGGAAACATATTAAGAACTTGCTATTCAATAATTCTCCACCTCGGTGAAGTGTTTCAAAAACTGAGCTGACACCAATACCAACCAAACGTCTCACTTGTTGCGTCCAGTACGAAGTGAAACAAAATCACAACGACGGACTCAATCCATAACAAGTCGAGACCCAAACGAGTATGTGACCACTCTCCAAACGTTGGTATCTACTCACCAAATCGGCTGCATTATAAATGATTGCCTACGTATCCTCTTGCCCAAGGAATCAAGCATTCATGTAGTTCACTCAATGGCCTCCAAAGACCCTCAATCCAATATAAAAGTTCGCAACCCTTCTCCAACATCATCACTAAATATGTGGCTGATAGCTCTCCTAATGGCCCCAAAGTGAAACAATCCAAACACCTCCACCTGAGGTGAACCAATGCCCAAAACCAAATGCGAACTATGTCCACCAGCTGCACTCGAATCCAAAACAAACTCATCATCTGCATTCAAATCCAAATGATCGTCAAACTATGTCACCTCAACTGGAATCCCAAACGATGTACTATGATCTGGAGTATGTAGAGTAATCTCCACCTAATGTGGAGTAGCATCACTCTCCATCCGCTGCGATATCTCAATGATCTGATCAACACTCTCTACCTGCTGAGAGTCGAATGTGACATACCTGCTCAGAACAAAATTAGAGTCTCCTAACTGATAATCAAACGAGCCTCTGAATCCTAAATGTGCAATCAGATCAAATCTCACATCCTCGATATGACCAAATGCTAGGCAACCAAACATCCGACGCAACCCAAAATCTGAAGCAGCTCCACTAGATTCAAAATCTCTAAACACAACAGTCAGCAATCTATGAACAAGATGACCCAAATATGTCGAAGCCCGAACACCAAAACCAATGCTCAACATCAAACATTGATCCTCCTCCAGAAAGGAACGGCCCATCAAATTAAACTGTCATTTCATCTCGTCGCCCTAATGTTTCCTCTCCAATGAAGTGTCTCAACTGTCATGAGCTCGGTACAAATACAGAAAAGAACCCCTACCCAAATCAAAACGACGTATTACCTTTCTGCCAAAATACTACTTCCACCTGTTGTTGACTACTAGGACTTCAAACCAACCGGACTTGATTGCAACTCACAAATGCCTAGTACAATCTCCAACATAAGAAATCAAATATCGATTACCTTCCAATGATGCCTCCTTAGAAGGCCCCAAATGCCTGAATCAACACCATCTAGAAGACCCTTCAATCGATGGATAGAAGTGTCAAACTCCACCTCGGTCTGTTTGCTCATACCAATGTGCTCAAAGGACTTCAATATGCATGTCAAGGAACTTCTCAACAATCCAATGCACCGTATCAACAATTAAATATCTCAGCCTCAAATCATTCTTTCTCAGTCATAATTCTCAAAACACTAACAAACCAATGCGGAACAAATGAAGAATAGATCCAAACTGATAAAGGAGAGATTTTTACCTCCAATTAAAACCCTAGCAAGAGTCTCCAAAAGATCTCACCCCACACGACGGAAACGGGATCCACAAATAGGAAAAATCTCACCTTTATCACCAACCGAATCTCTAGATGAACTTCCAAAGCGATCTACTCCTCCAATTAGCCCAAGCGTAGCCCAAGTTCTGATACCACTTATTGGGCTCTGATATCACTTGTTGTGCGTGGCGAAAGCTAAAACCAAATCGATGTGCTTCGAGAGACCAAATCAAACAAACACTGAGAGAAGGCTAAACAATGAAAAATAATGGCACAAACTCAAACAACCAATTTTAACGTGGTTCGACAAGTTGCCTACGTCCACGGGACAAGAAAGAGATTGAGTTTTCACTAATAGAGAAGAAGAGTACAAACCGAGATTATAAAATCAAACAAACTCACCAATTAATCTCACCAACAAAGCTATAATTCTCTCCAAACAAAATCCTAACCAATAGCTCATAAAATACATCTTTTCTGTGCTCCAAATATCTCCTTTGTTGCTATCAAACCTAAAACGTGTTCCTATATATATAGAAATCCTAAAACCAAAAGCATATTAGGAATTCTAAAATCAAAATCAAAACAGATTAGTAATCCTAATAACTTGTTACCAAAACATATTAGGAATCCCGTTATCAAAACAAATTAGGAATCACAATAATATGTTACCAAAACATATTAGGAATCCTAATAACCTGTTACTAAAATAAATTAGGAAACATATTAAGAACTTGCTATTCAACAGTAGAGGAGCAAGAAATCTACATCAAGACCATTCTAATTAAATCTAACTTGATCCCTATAAAAAGAGAGCATCTAAGAGTTTCAAAATCATACTTTTAAAGCGTGATTCGATAGTAGATCGAACATCTCTTAGCTCATTCTTCTTGTACTAGTTAACCTCCTTGTAGTGGATCTTCAAAAGCTCTAAGGCCCCGTTTGGCAAAGGGTTAATGAAGAGGGGTTAAAGAGAAGGGTTAATGTACTTAGCCCATTTGATAATCCGAAGGACTAAATTATTAACCCGTTAAATAAGTTTTATTTTAGCCCTTATGATCAGTTTTAGTGTTTGGGAATAACAATGATTTTGACTATTTTCTTTATAATTAGAAGGGTTAACTCTTATTCTATCTAAATAGGAGTATTAGTAAACCCCTCATTTTGAGGGGTTAACTCATTTTAACCCCTCTAGAGGGGTTAACTTAACCCTTCTATATTTTTTATGTTTGACAAATTATGAAGGGTTAACTCACTTTAACCCTTATATAGATTTGTTGTGTTTGGCAGGTTAAGAAGGGGTTAAGTCTCCTTAACCCCTCACTTAACCCTTTGCCAAACGGTACCTAAAAGAACAAGAAAAGAATTGGAGGCTTCTTAAGACACAAGGCAAGATATCCAGACTGGGGTTCTTGAATTCTACTACTTTCTCTTACTCTAGATTGCTAGAAGATAGTAAGAGGTAGAGCTCTCTTATTCTCTTATGGAAAATAAATATAAACTAGCCAAATTTTCATTAACCATTAAAGAAGGGAGAGAGCTCATATTTATATAAACAGAGATGTCATCACATCAATGACTCATCCTATCAGTCATGCCATGAGTCATAAAAAACAATGACTCATCATATGAGTCATGCCATGAGTCATGAAATGTTAAAACTATATGCTTAAAACCATGTTCCCAAATCATACTACGTAATGACTCATCATATGACTCATTAATCATAGTATAATTAATACCGTATTCATAAAAATATAATATTCAATACTTTTCCAATCTTTAACTAAGATATCATCATATGACAATAAAGTCCACCAGTTGACCAAAAGTCAACTGTTGATCAAAAAGTCAACTATATGAAAAAATTGGAATTCATTTCTTATGCACATAGCATTCTGATTTTACTGATATATATAACCGTTTATGTGTATCTGGTAAAAATCATATATGTGTATCAATCATACGTATTACTCTATAATTTGTATTTCATAGGATTCAAGTACGCGCGTGGTGTGACTTTAGGGCCCAACTTAAGACTAGGCAATGGATCATATCCACAAGTACAACAGAGGTGCTAGTTATACATGAAGACTACCCCGGGTATAAGTTGTGATAAAGGTTTGCAAGATGTTTACCTAATTTTATCATGATCACCCAGTGATAAATACCGTACAGTCTGGTCTCCTTGTCAAATCATGTCATACTATTGAGCCTAAGGTATGATAAACTGTCAAACCCTACTAGCTTGATTAGTGTTTTTTGATATTAATCTCATAACCTATAAGATCAAACTGACACTCAGTTTATCTTTATTCACCTCAGCCAAGGATTTTCAGGCTATAGTTATACCAAACAATCTTATAACATCAACCCCCATATTAGGAGAGACGAATCCTATCTTGACATCTCAATATCTTCATGTGTCCCGAGATGTACCCAACAAGAACCGTTATGCACAACTCAATGAGAATTGTGATTAGGTAAAAGTCTAAGTACAACTATACTGACATATAAAATATTGCACCATGCCTCAGGTCAAAAGACTACTTTGTACTATATCACTTGAGAACTACTATTTGACAGTTAAGTATATTACCAACTAGATGTTCTCGGTGAGTCGTTCAGTGAACTCATTCACTAATGAGCACCTGTATACTGTATCTTGATGTCTCAACATCAATGATCTAAGAGATGGATCATCGTCCTTTGAAGGGACAATAGAGTATACACTAGTCTTACCAAAGTGATGATGTCCTATCTCAACACTTCATCAACTAGGAACATTTTAGAATATACATTAGCAACTAATCAGATCTCTTCTTCATTACGATCATTATCGAAATTCTGATAGTCTAGTATCATTCTAAGAACTTTATCTGTATTTAAAAAAATACCAGATAAATATTGACCAAAATAACATACTATTATTTTGATCAAAGATGTTATATTCATATAGGTCCTGTTACAATATACTATAGGTCATATTACAATATACAATTATTACCTGCATGGCAGCTATATCTAACAGGACATGCAAGCGGGCCACTAGATCCCGGAACCTTGAGGATGGGTTAAGAATGAGATAGATCGTGATGATGAACTGAAAAATGAAAACGCCAATTTCCAATCCAGTAAGTAATTATTTTGTGAATCTTGTACAGTGAAGGACTGAACGTTGCTACTATTAAGAAAGTTGAGTATCATATTTGATCAAATATTTTTGAAAATAGTTAGTCGTCGTAGTTGAATATTTGCCAGTTATCCATACATCGGATACACTGAAAATTTGTCTGCGTAGTATTAATCTTTTCGATAAAGGGGGTTCTCTTTGACGTATAACTTTATAACTTAATTATTATGGATAGTTTCTGCAATTCAAATTTAACTTTTCTTTTAATAACTTTATACAAAAATATTTGGTTAATTTCCCTTATAATTCAAGCTTTTGTAACGTGTAGTTTTCAAAGTTATTTGTGTTCAGTTGCACGAACACAAATAAGAGTTTTATAGATTATCCTATAGTTTAAGAAAGCGCATAATGCAAGATGTATTGAATTTCTAATTAAATCACTTTAATATTAAAACTTTGTTATATATAGAAGAAAATTTCTATATTTTGTATAAAAAATCGCGCATCAAAGTAGATTCATGATGTTGGGGGCCGATACGCCAAGCTCGCCGCGGAAGCAAATCACCTTAAGAGAAAGTCATGGCTTTTGTTTTCACAAAACTCAAGCCAACCTCGATGTTCAGATTCGATATGAAACAAGAACAGAAGCAAAATATATCAGCGATGTGAGATATACACTCTTCCCAATATCAGATCTAGGTCTGAATATCAAGGAAACCAACCAACACAAGCAATAGCCAATACAATAAGTGAGACACAAGATTTATGTGATTCGACAAACTTGTCTACGTCCACGAGAGGGGGAGAAGAGAGATTCCACTATGATGAAGAACACCGATGACTTGCACAACCAGCAAGCTCGTCCCAAAGAGATGAGACTTCGATTTTGCCCAAGAGAAGATAACATCTTTATTGTATAGTCCCTCCAAGCACTCAATCTTTTCTCTCTTCAAGATCTCACCTTTTAGATCTGAAAAACTCTCTTCTTTCATTGACGGCAGCCCCTCTTCTCTGCTAAAAAACCCTACGAACAAATCCCTATTTATACCAAAGAAAACAAGTTAAAAAAACCGCCCGAAAGCCCGTTGTTGGGATCCACGCCCGTTCTGTCTCGGATCACCGCGTGACACACATGAGCGAGACACCTAAGGTGTCTCGCTCACACATGAAAATAAGACTACTTCTATAAGTAAACCTGAAGCGCAAGAACTATTAAGTGGTCGGAACCTAAGAGAAGCTCAAGCCCAAAATCAACGTTAAGGGTTAGGCCATAAACAAAAGCAGCCACAATCAGTCACCCAAAACCAATAG